ATCATGAACACTCTCTTATCGTTTACAGTAATACCCATTGTAGCGTCGGTGTTGTGAGAATATGATACCGATCAGTTCTCTCTGCTACCGCCCTAGGCATAGCAATGAACGTGCCTTAAGTTTTCGCTTCCTGAGGTCAATTTAACACGGAAGTTATGACCAGTTTGTTTACATAAGAAGTGCTGTTTCAGATAAGCGCCGTTTGCCACTATCTCCAGTCAATGAGGATGAACGCTTACTCAACAGATTGTCTTCCGTTTTCTTTCAACATTTGATGGTGAAACTAATCGAATTAATTTGTCGGAAGATCGATGGACCTTCCTCCTCCCTGTTAAATTTCCTATAAACGCTGCTGCTGGGAATTCACAAGAACGAGAAGCTTCATAATACATATACAGTTAATATAAAACTAGGGAAAATATAGTTACATGCATCCTCGCTGACTAAAAAAAAAATGTACTGGTAAAAAGAACACTGGTAAAGAACACTACAGGAAACGCCTTAAAACACGATCTGTTATCACGGTGTATGAACATATTCGATAAATTTAAAATGAAAAATATGTTTCTTCTTACCACCCCATGGTTAACAAAGTGTCCCAGGATTATATCGCCAGTCAATCTATTCATTCATTCAGCCTAGTCAGTCGTCATATAGCTTTCCCTCTTTTGAAAAAAAATACTGCTCGTCACATTATTGGTAATAGGTGACTGACTAGTTATCCTGAAGATCTGCTCCCTCCTGCATGCAAAAAGAAACAGGGATATTCTGCCTGCTGGAGAACTTGAAACACCACTGAAGGCGCCAGGTACGAATCATAGTGCTAATTGGATTCTACATTATGCTGCAATTATCCGTCTGCAGTGAATACGAATATCTAAAATAAAAAGTCGAAATAACTGTGGGCATATGATATACAGCATTTACATTGATCAAGAATGGAAAGCAAATCATACTACGCATATTTCGGTCTAAAGGTTTTTGATCAAGATAAGAATTGTGTTCCTCACCATTTGCAATAGCTGTGCAAATCATCTCCAAAAGGTAGAAGAGATTCGCCTAAATTTGGGATCCTCTTGGTGGGGCGAGAACCATAGAACCATGTGGATGACTGTTGCTTTTGTCTTACTAATTTTGTAAGATATTTATATCTCTCCAAAGAATCTTAAAGCTTTTAACCTCAAGACTTAAAGAATGTTGAAAAGTAGGATAAACATTTTTTCTTTTTATCGCAAAGCTGATTTTGTACCTTTTTCACGAGAAATATTATTTTTTTGTCAAGTGTCTGGCCTAGTAGCAGCGTTGAGCCTGAAAGTCTATAATCTTGACAATCGGCCTCGAGTTATTGGGCCTCAAAGTTTATATTCCTGACAATTGGCGACTGTTCATCGCCAGCTCAAAACGCCAACAGACAGGCTTCTATTTCATCAGCCCATCAACAGTGGGCAGAGAGCATCATGACATCAAACGTGTTGTGAAAAATAGAATATTAACATTGTTTTTTTCTGTTGTGATTTAAAAATGGTCAATATTCTAGGGCAACAACACAGCTACACAGAATACCCTTGCTTTCTTCGAGGTGTAGACTGACTGGCCTTTGTAGATTGCAATGGCTTAGGGAGAGAAAAAAGGTTAATGCTGAACCTCTCGTATCGCATGAAAAAATCACTTTCCACCTTTGCATGTCAGACTTGGATTATCCAAAAAGTTTGTTAAAACTTTGAATGAGGATGGTGATTGCTCTAAGTACATTTGCAAAACATTTCCTGGTTTGAGTGATGAGAAAATGAAAGATGGTACGTTTGATGGGCTGCAAATTAGGTACCTAATCAAGGATCCCTTCATTAGACTCATGGCGCCAGATGAATCCTGCATGGTTCCATTCAAGCATTTTGTTGAGAACTTCAGAAATCTCGTGTAGTAATTGCAAAAAACAGGTCTAAAACTTGATGAAAAGCCTCCAGGCCTTGGGAGCAAACATGAGCATCAAAGTCCACTACATCAACATCCCGGAAATCCTTGTGGATGGAAGCGACGAGCAAGGACAGCATTTTCCTCAGGACATCCGAATCCTGGAAGAAAGATATCAAGGTCGTTGAGACAAGCAAAGGACGGCTGACTACTGCTGGAGTCCTCATCGAGATTTTCCTGATGTTCCTTAGCCATGTAAATCGAAGAAGTTGCGACTTTTGCCTCTGAAATGATGTATATTGATGTGATCATTTTCTTGGTATGCTTTCAAGTATATATATTTTCCATCTGCTTATAATTGCTCAAGGTTCTACATTTTTTTTCTTCTTTTTATGATATTGATTTATATGACAAATACAGTACTTTACTTTTTGCTGAAAATGGAAACTTGTGACAAGAAAACTAGAGCCAATGGGGGAAATGACTGTGACAATAGAAACCAGCATCCAGAAAATCGGTATTTACATCTATTGCAACAAAGAATTTTCTTGTACCAGTGTAATCAAAAGTGATTTAGTCCTTGCTCTAAGCCTCATTTCCAATGGTTAATGTGTAGATTACCATTTTTTTTATGTATATGATCTCTTTTGAATCGTCTGTAAACGTCTTCTGTGTAGATTACCATTTTAATTATGATCTTTAATTACGATCTCTTGTGTGGAATTCATGATGAACAGATTGCAACAGGAACAACGAAGGGAAGGGCAAGAAAACACACGAATATGCCTATTCGTGTGTTTTCTTGCCCTTCCCTTCGTTGTTCCTGTTGCACGATCTCTTGTCAAGAACAGACTAAAGGCCAGACGAAGTCCTAAAGGAATGAGGATGAGGAGGTGCTTCTGGACTATGCTTCAGTATCATCGTCTTTTTGGTACTCGTGTTGGGTTACTTCAGCAAATTATGAAGAGGAAATGGCCTTTAGTCCAGAAGGGCACATAAGATCTCACGGAATTTAAGAACTAACGTTATGTAGAGTTACAAGTGATGAGCAAGGGGTCCTTGGCTCCGTCTTCATCTGCGCTGTGAGAGAGAAGACAGGGTGATTATGGTTCTGTCTTCACTTATGTTGCGTGTCAAACAAGTGACAAGCAAGGGATAAGGTTTCAGGAATGGTCAGGCGTAGGTTCGGCAACTACTATATAATCAAGAAAATATACTGTACTTGCCTACATACAGAAATACATCGATTTGTAACTGGGTGTGTTTGTGTGCATGTGCGTTCGTGTGTTTTTGGGTCTGTGTTTGGACGTGCTTTTGTTTTCATTATCAGTATAACTGATCCCATAATATGCGTTTGATTTATATAATTACCCAGACCCTTATTTTCCTTTTCTTTATAAAATGTGTACATACATATTATAAAACCAAATTGAACTAATTAGAGAGCCATGTACATTATCCTGTACCTGTGTTACCCCTGTAAGCGGAATGTCTCTCACTGTTTTCCTCCCTTTCAGTCCGCCAGCAGGTTCTCCCTTCAGTGGGTCTTGCACATGCTAGGTGTTGCGATAGACTCCGTCGATACCGTCCTCCGTTTCCTCGACGATCGCACGGGGACTTTTGACGTCTACCTCTTCCTCAGTTACATCTTAAAGGGCTTCCTTTTTAACGTCCTCGCGTCGTGGAGTTACGTCGGAGCAGGACTCGTTCTCTTCTACCGCGTCTCCTCGAGAGAGCGCGAGGCCAAGTTAGACAAGAAGATAGCCCTCGCGAGAACCGACGCCGCTACGTTCAAGGCCCTGTACGAGGATACGGGAATCGAGCTGCCTCCGTGGGTGAGTCAGTGGGAAATAGCGGGGGGGGGGGCGTAAGGGGGATCGAGAGAGAACGGAAAGATTATCTGACAGAGAAAGAAAAACACAGCAAGAGAAAGAGACGGAAAAAATGACAGGAAGAGAAATAGAGAATGTGTTTACCATCCATTTTTCTAAGCAACTGAAAAAATACAAACTTCGTAAGCTTTTGCATTGTAATTCCAATTTAGGACTGCATTTAGAAGCTGCAAAGGGATACACTAAACAGCATAGATATTAAACCATATACTACATGTCTAATAAACGCATGATTGATTGTTATAGAATTTATTGTTTTCGTAGGATCTGCATAGGAGGGATGATGAATATATGCCATTGACGGTATTAGTTAGAGAATAATCTAAAGAGAGGAGATACTGATCAACTGAACATTTACAGCGATAACTAAGACCCTTTTAATTGTATGTTAAGATGATGAGTAGGATATTTTAGCAAAAATGTCGCTGCCCATTTGAGGAAAGCCCCTGGTGACTACGACCCATTGGTAAAAGGCTGATAAATGGCCTTTTCCTTGCTGACTGGCAGGAAAGCCGGTGTGGTTTATCAGATACTTACCTTATTTACCTTATTTACCTTTATTTACCTTAGAGAACCAACACATCCTCAGAGAAGTGATGATCTTTGGTATCATTGAAATTATCAAAAGGAGATTATATTGCACAGTCAAGCCCAGCTCATCCAAAAGCTGATTGAAAATTTGGAATAATTTTGAGAGCTTTATTGTATTTATAAATATATGCAGATTGCATACATAGTCAATTCATTCACTAATCTTATATTTCCTGAATGAGTTTTTACATTACATTTGACTGAACTTGATGGTTCGTATGTTTCAGATCACCTTTCCAGACACAGAGCGAGCAGAATGGGTAAACGAGGTAAATTCGCCTTCTCCTCCCTCTCTATCTACCTATCTATCCATCTGTCTATCTGTCCATTTATATCTCTCCCTCCCCCCCTCTCTCTCTCTCTCTCTCTCTCTCTCTCTCTCTCTCTCTCTCTCTCTCTCTCTCTCTCTCTCTCTCTCTCTCTCTCTCTCTCTCTCTCTCTCTCTCTCTCTCTCTCTCTCTCTCTCTCTCTCTCTCTCTCTCTCTCTCTCTCTCTCTCACTATAATCATAGTGATTACAATGGAACTAAAAATCTTCATGTAAGCTTTGTGTTCCATTGCAATCATTATGATCATCATCACTCTCCGCCTTATAATGACTATCATT